CATCTCATAATTAATGCCAAACCTACCCATTCGTGATGCAAATTTGTTCAAGTCCTTCTACAAGGTCACCTTGTATCTTGGGACAGCACACACTCGATAGAAGGTAATAATTAAACCATTATCTCTCTCGATCTTAATTAGAATATTAGACATGCAGGGGGCTGGCGTGCTTCCATTAATCCTGTAAAATAAGTGATTAGAACAGCTGGGATGTTATACGATATAAATCTAGAATAAGTGACAGAAATCTCCACTTGTCATATGAATTCGTCGTCTGGGTTTTGGATTAACAAAATATGGAAGCAGCTAGTTTGTTTACCTCAAGCGGTACGTGGAGCTAGCTAGCATGATCCTAATTATTGAATGTATGTGGTAGGTTTTCGATTGATAGGAACCTTGTTCTTAAGAGAATATTGTAATGAGATTTCGATAGAAAATCCTCAGGAACTATAATATACTGCCATGTTGATCTGACAACTAACAACATGGCTGGCGTTTGACAGATGCAAAGAGCGACGACCTTATTTTAAAACATTTACTTTGATCACCATATCAAATAGTATTCGGAAACTAAGAGCAATTGCATATTAATTTACCCGGATTAATTTAGTGGAATATAATTTATAATTCACAAGTTTTAATTCTTTTTCTCTTTATACAGTAAAACAGAATCAAACAATGATCAAATATAATGTAAATAATTACAAAATCAACACCAAGATTTTTAACGTGGAAAACCCGATGTGGGAAAAACCACGGGACTGTAGTCTACCTAAAAACTTTCACTATCAACAAATAATGAGTTCACAATCATTCTTACTCAGATTGAACTAAGAAATACAACATATATATCATCAAGAACAACTTATTCTTGGATTACAACAAGATTAAAGGAGAATTATTTGAGAAAACTCATAAAAATGACAGCTCTGTTTTTTATCAAAACGGTCAGCTTCTATATCATCAATTTTTGATCCAACCGTTCAGAATGAAGATCAATGTGTCTAGAAGTTGCTGTTAAAATCTCAGCCCAATCCAATGGTAAATAAGCTGGAAATCAAAAGAAGAACACACGCTACTTTACTGCCTCTTCTTCTCTTTTTATCTCTTAATTTTCTTTTCCTTTCTTTTATTTTCAATTTTACATTATATTACCCGATTTATTTAATTTTAAAATGATCAGTGTCTTTTTTCTCCATAAATATAGTGATCCCACCATCACAGCGGGACCACACGCAACAACAAATAGCAGCCCGACCTCACCTTTTAATAGCCTCCCGACCTTACCTTTTTTATACTTACACTTGATCAAAGACGACGACTCCTACTGGTACTGTGTCATTTTTAGGCAGTACTGTGCTTAAGGGCAATGGTAAGAGAGTAGGGACCGACTACAGGGTGGTTGGTCCTTCCCAGTTCACCATATATATATACTGTACACCCCTGTCCTAGCATTCCCATACCCTCCCAAAGCATTTCTTCTCTTCTCTTACACCTTCTTCAACCTTCTGTTCCCTTAAAAGAATCGATCGATCTTGATCACGATGGGTTCAACAGGTGAAACTCAGATGTCTCCAGCTCAGATATTAGATGAAGAAGCGAATTTTGCTTTGCAACTGATCAGTTCGTCAGTTCTACCTATGGTCCTCAAAACAGCCATTGAACTTGACCTTCTTGAAATCATGGCTAAAGCTGGCCCTGGTGCTCTCTTGTCCCCATCCGATATAGCTTCTCATCTCCCTACCAAAAACCCTGATGCACCTGTCATGTTAGATCGTATCTTGCGCCTTCTGGCTAGTTACTCCATTCTTGTTTGCTCTCTAAGAGATCTTCCTGATGGGAAAGTTGAGAGACTCTATGGTCTTGCTTCTGTTTGTAAATTCTTGACCAAGAATGAAGATGGTGTCTCTGTTAGCCCTCTCTGTCTCATGAACCAGGACAAGGTCCTCATGGAAAGTTGGTGAGTATATTCTATCTCTAGGTGCCGTTTGGTTTTGCCGTGCTTTTTAATTTTTTAATTTTTTACTTGAAAAACATTATTTTTTATTCATTTTCAAAAAAAATAAAAATAAAAATAAAAATGCAATCTTCACCGCATTCTTCAAGAGGTCTTAATCTTTATCTTTACCGCATTCTTCAAGAGGTCTTAATCTTTACCCCCCCCTACCGATCTAAAGAATTATACTGAATTTGATTTTAAAATTTAATTACAAGTTTAGGCTAACATTAATGCGACTCCATCTTATTATTAAATACTTGAATTAGTTAAATGCATGATTCATCATTGTTTAGGTAAATTTTGCTTCATAAGAAGATAACGTGACATGGTTCTGCTAGTCCTACAGGTATCATTTGAAAGACGCGATTCTTGAAGGAGGAATTCCATTTAACAAGGCCTATGGAATGAGTGCATTTGAATATCATGGCACGGATCCAAGATTCAACAAGGTTTTCAACAAGGGAATGTCTGACCATTCTAAAATTGCCATGAAGAAGATTCTTGAGACCTACAAAGGCTTTGAAGGCCTCGCATCCTTGGTGGATGTTGGTGGCGGGACTGGTGCTGTGCTGAGCACTATCATCTCCAAGTACCCTTCAATTAAGGGCATTAACTTTGATTTGCCTCATGTCATCGCGGATGCCCCAGCTTTCCCTGGTACTCACATTGTCTCATGTCTAATGCCAACACTTAGATATTATCTTGGTGGATGGCCAGTTCTGGGTGTAGTAAAGCATGCATGCGCCACTTGCCTGTAATTGCTTATAATGAGTTCTGATAGAGATCATGTATAATGGGTGCAGGTGTGGAGAATGTTGGTGGTGACATGTTTGTTAGTGTGCCCAAAGCAGATGCTGTTTTCATGAAGGTGAGGTTTTATTATTATTATTATTATTATTGAAACCACGATGAAGTCACCTGACTCATTCCATTCCATGCCATGGTGTTTTAGCTGGATCTAATCTAATCTAATCACGGGCTAACAACCGCGTGTTTGACTTTACACACAAACAAACAGACCCTAGCTAAAACATTCATGATCCCCTGTCATGAAGCTCTTCGTTCGTTGAATTTAACAAGTGTCTAGTCTATAAAATGTCTAGAATGAGCTGGGTAATTAGACAGGAGTCTTTCAATCTCAGTAAAATACTGAATTTATTATTTTAACTAATCCATGCACGTTGAGTAGTTGTGTTATTGATGGGGGTGGTGCTTATATGCTCTCACAGTGGATATGTCATGATTGGAGCGATGAACACTGCTTAAGATTCTTGAAGAACTGCTATGATGCGCTGCCGGAAAACGGGAAAGTGATCCTTGTTGAATGCATTCTTCCTGTGGCTCCTGACACAAGCCTTGCCACCAAGGGAGTCATGCACGTTGATGTCATAATGATGGCACACAACCCCGGAGGAAAAGAGAGGACCGAAAAGGAATTTGAGGGCTTGGCCAGGGGAGCTGGCTTTAAGGGTTTCGAAGTGATGTGCTGTGCATTCAATACATACGTGATTGAATTCCGCAAGCAGGCCTAAGGCTCCCCTCCCCTCCCAGTTATTTCGAGTTCCATGCAAGAGAGGTGGTGTCTGCTAGCTTTGAAAGGTGTGATTGCCTGTTATATCTCTTATGAACCAAATAAGATCGTGTCCTGTCTGCTTCTTGTTTCAAAATTAACTCCATACCACCTCTAATTAAGATCTTTATTCATGCAATGATGAAAAAGATTTCTTATAGAGGCTGTAGTGAAGAAGAAAGCAATTCGTCTTTTATCTTGCAAGATCATGATGAATATTGTTCTTAACAGGAAGCAATTCTTTTTTCTTTTTCTCTTTTTCTGGGCCCTTAATTTATGACTACTTCTTGATCTTATGCCGGCCTTTTTCTTATTGAAAACAAGGAACAGTTGCTCTTGCGTATTAAAATAAATAATAATTGAAAAAATAAAGTGACGCCGACTTCCAAACAAATCAGCTCTAGGATTCTTCAGACCGATCTTGTTTATTCGAATAACGACAGCTTGTCTGCATGTTTATTTATTTTTTCTTCAACACAAATTAAAGATGCTCAATTTCCCATCCCCGCTCTAAAATATGCCAATAATGACATACCTGCATCAACCTGACATGATGACATTAACTATTGTTTTGGTTGGAAGGATAATTGTTTTTAAAAGTATTTTTTTATTTGAAAATATATTAAAATATTTTTTTATTTTTAAAAAATTATTTTTAATATAATATATCAAAATAACTTAAAAATATTTTTTAAAAAAAATATACTTTTGAATTTTTTTAAAAACATCTGTTTGGAACAGAGTTTCTGAACACCAAAATGGTTCTGCCCGAGCCATAATGTAAAAAGGTTTTTCTTCCAGGCTTTATAACCAACAACAAAGATAAAAGTAATGTGAAGGAATGCTTTATGGCCTGTTGTCATATTTTACCTCTAAATCAATACGAAGATGATGGCCATACCACCCCTATATATATATATATATATATACATAGTAACAGTTGTACAGTAAAAAAAAAATAATTATTAACTTCATGAAGCATGCGTGAAAAATTAGGGATTACGTCACAGCTCAGCCTAAGATATGGCATTTCCCCATCAGGTAGATTCATGAATATGGGTGGATGTAATTTATTTATTTTTATTTTCTTAAAAGAAACAAAACCATCTCTCGCTGGTGCCCATCGGACCCTCATCCTCCTCTCCAAAGCAATGGTCATTTGAACATGGCCGTGAGGACTAAACAAACATATTCCATTCTTGATTCCTAATAAGTAGACTGTATTTAACTTTTGTTCCTATAAAATTTGTTTTATTCACTTTCAAGTGTCTTGTGTATGCCTATTATAACTTCTTAAGGCGGAAAAAAAAAAGAGGATAGACATTCAACTCACAATGTTTACAATCTAGGATCCGTTTCTCGGCTTCTACATATTCCAGGCAGGCAGATCCCAAGATTCGCGAGTAGACTAATGGACTGATAAACCTTCAAATACCCATTTCATATATGGTATTATCACACACTAATGTTCGGGCACACCCCTTGTCTAGTATTTCAGACATCTCTTCTAAGGAGGCAATGGGGATTTGACTTTCCATGGGGTACGGTATTAGAAAAGGAAGTTTACCCACCCGGTATTTAACTGATTTAAGTGCGCTAGATATTCGGAGTGCCTGAGAATGCTTGAAGGAGAGCAACCCTTAGAGATGAACAGGTAGGTCATTTGCGTCATCCAGGGACTTGTGAAGAAAGCGTCCCACAGCTCCACTATCAGATGAAGCAAGGATGATGTGTGTGGACATGTTTGTCGTCAGACTTCTTGCATTGACAGACCTCGTGTCTAAACTACTTGGTAACAAATGCTGGACCTTGAAATTCATGAGCTTGATCCATCTCTTTAATTTCACATTCGTGGTAACTGTAAGATTAGCCATCAGATCATGCTTCAGCCAGTCTTAGGCGAGGAACAATATTCATTGATTGAAGTTCCTGAAATTGGACCATTCATTGGTAAAGGTTCGTCAAAAACACAAGCAGAAAGCTTTGAATGTATAAAAATGGATCAAAAGCACACTTACCTGAATCAAGAGCTTGCAAGCATACGGTAGTTTCATAGTAGAAACTTTATCCCCATTTTTACACGTGGTACACATCGCAGCTTTCAGCTTCTGATTGTAATAGCCTAATAAACCACAAGCTCTGCAAACCTGCATTACATGGAGATGCTATCAGCTGTTATGGAAATATAATAGACCACCTTTCTTATTTATTATACAGAAGATACAAATATCTAGTAGACTTATAATAAGCATAACTTAGTAACTCATCACGTTTGGGATCAATCACTTGCTAAGCTGGAAATTTCTGCTATCAAATAAATTTATAGTCTAATAAAGAAGAATGGTGGCTATTTATACCAAAAGCGTTCCCCGAAGCCACTTCCAGAAAATCTCATTTGTTCATAGGAAGAGCCCACAGAGAGATCCACACATCTAATTAATCAGATCATTTGGGAACTGATTCTGGGAACACACTTTCAGTAAAATTAGCATCACTCGTGCAGATCCTCAAATGTTGTTCAATCAAATTTGAAAGCTAAGGTCCAGAAGGCAATAGCCAGGGAAATTACCTATAGCTAGTGAAAGTGTCCAATGAGACAGTTATACAACTTGAGAGTTTCAAAAAACAAATAAATGCAGTTGGATCGATAAGCAATTGAGCAGGTAACTTCAACATGCAATGACGTGCCAAGTGATTGTTTTTTGAACAACTAAAGCAGCAACTCCTCTTCCGTCGTATAAAATGGATAGTTTCTCAATATGGATGCCAGAAAATACTTGTATGCACTTTGTTTCATTAAGTACTCCATGCTAAAATTCATTATGTGCATGTAGAGTACAAAAACAAATAAACGTTACCTGAGCTTCAAATTGATCACTGGAAACCATTAGGCGCTCATAAAGCAACATGCTAGTGCCATATGCAACCAAACAATCCTTTTCCATTTCTCCCACTCGAAGACCTGGGAAACAAACATTTATCTAAAGACGAAATCTTCTTATACATGAAACATAAATTGATAAAAGTATCTTGGCATTGGAAAAGAAAACCTCCATTTCGAGCTCTCCCATCAGTAGGCTGTCTGGTTAGCATGACACGTGGTCCACTACCTCGAGCATGCATTTTATCTAAGACCTAGTCACCACAAGATATACATTGGAAACTATATGAACAAGCGAGAATAATGCGCTAAGTGAATAAATAAGAGAAGCAGAAAATGAAATTTGACAGGGCTACATGTGATATGTGAAGGAAAAAAGTGTAGATGCCATGTTATAGACACTATCAGCAGATTCTGTGTTATAAGTACGGAAACAGTAATGAGAACTTGAATTCAAATGTTTTGCTTGAAAGAATGCCCCAAGCCCCGAATGCGCATAGAGGAGAGAACATTTGTTTAACAGAGTAAAATCAATAACTTGAATACACAGCAAACATTAAACCCATCATTATAAACATTCCATGTCTCTTCTGGCACCTTTATTTTAATTTGAAAGCTATAGATTTGAAGCGCCCAAGTACCAACCAGTAAATAAGTAAAATAACAACCATGAACAGCTATCCAAGTACAGATGAACAATGTCACACCAGAAAGAAAGCTTAAGATCTCACCATATGTTTTAACTTCTGGTAGTAAATTGGCCCCATGAAAATATACGCCTGCAGAGGACAACCTGTGATACCTGGGGAAATTTTGAGGTGTCAGGATGACCATGTTGGAGAATCCAAACCAAGAGCTTAGCTTGGTATATGGAAAGGGCAGTGAAGGAGATACCAAATTGGTTTTGTTTGTTAGATAAACGCTATACCAAACTTTATACTCTTCTTGAAGGATCTTGATAAGATATCTTAACCGACTTGACTTGAGTGGGAAGGTTTGTGAAATAAAACCAGGAGCATGCTTGGTGAAAGGTTTCCTTTAATTCAACTCCACAAGAATGGCACTCCTAGAGGAACCTCAAAAAATACAAGTCACTAAAAAATCAAGGCCATGCTTGTTTGTGATGAACGAAATCCTTCTGGAAAATGAATTACAAAAAAAGTATGTTTTTTTAACGTTTAGTTGAGTTGGAAAACATCTTCCAATGTTTTGGTGTGCATTGATAATAATTTTTTCCTATGATATCCTATGTTATGATATAATTTTTATTGTTTTAGATATGATTATTGTATAGTATAAAATGTTGTGTTTTATAATGTTATCCTCTAGAAATATTATATAAATTAAAACAATTTCTAATATTATGTGTTGATATATATAGTAATTTATCATTTATAATAATATTATATATTTTAAAGTATTATTACTAATATATTAGTGTTTATATATATATATGAGAATATGGAGTGGTGCCAAGTTCTTGGTTCCTTCATAGAAAGTGTTTTCAGATCTTTAGAAAATAAAAAAGAAAAAAGAAAGAAAGGAAATATTGATTGACATCTCCAGTTTTTCAGATATTTGAGAATCAAAGGGGAAATGATGCATTCTCCTCAAGTCATTATGGCACTACTGAAAGCAATGGCAGAGTAATATATTGGTTTAATTATGTGCAAGACTCTCCATTGACACAACAAGACAAAGAAACAAGATGGATCATGCTTAAGTGCACAGTTCAGTCTGATGACCCTCAAAATAGTCTATAATATTTAAAATTCAATAAACAAAAATACAAGAACTATGTCTTTAGGACATGTTGAAATTTTGGCATGCAGAAAGCCATGTCCATATCTGAAAATCAGAGCACTGTCACTTCTCCACTCAATCATGACTAGCATATCAAATTATCTTTTGGAACGAGGCATTGTCTCATTAATGCCAGTATTCATTCATAGGAATAATTTACATTTTGCAAAATAAAAATATCACATTCAGAATGCTTCAAGAAAATCAAAATGATTTATTCATAGAAGTGCATGTAAGTTCTATTTCATAAGTAACTTCTTAAGGGTAAACGCACAAAAACCTGAATAAATGAAGTCCTTGCCATTGTAGCTAAATCCATGCTTAACAAGTGTTTCACTGTCATGAAGCAGAACAAGGATTTACGAAAAATGAAGTTTGAGAAACATAGATCAAAAGCAAAGAACATAAGAGAGAGGAAGTGCCTTATAGCTTCAACCCTGTCTGCATGACCACTTGGTTCTCCAAATGCACTACCATAATGAAATCTACCGCATGAAACTCCAGCTTTACCCCCAAGAAGCTCTATCATCTTCCCAACAGTCATTCGACTATATCAAAAACAAGAACGCAATTACATTATTTGACTTGTGCAGATCTTGCACTCCTATCAATTGAAAGGATACAACACAACAACTTATAACTTGTGTGCATGTGAAATGAAATAGTCGTCAAAAATCATAAAAAAGAATCAAGCGATTGCAATGAGGTGAAGCACCACATTGAAGAAGCTAGTAAAGTGCCCATGTGACATATTGCATGAATAATATCATACAGTAGTTCCATCTTGTGTTGTGTTATTGCAATTGCAATCTGCCTATTATATATTGGTTTTTTCATTGCTCATCTGCATGGTTAAGAGTTGTTGCAAACACAGATTTGGTTTCATAGAATTAGAGCAAGTAAAACATACAATAAATGCAGTCACAGGTGTCAATCATTGAGAACATAGTCAATTGTCTCTAATGTGCAGACTTCAAAACATCACTAAAAACTGATAATACTTGTAACTTTAATAAATAAAGCTAAAATCTTTCCATTTAAAATAGAAGAATTACTCATCACATGGTCAAAATCCTTGAAAAGGGCATATGGTGGAAAGCATTACTAAAATCTGCATAAATATGAATAAGAAGTTGTCCCCACTCCCTCCCACTCTGCTTTGAGGAAATCTTTTGAAATGATCATAACTAGTCAAATATAATTTGGCAAGGTAATGGTGTTGGTGTCCTTCACGAACAAATCATAGATAACTCCTTTCACTATTGCTTCCAACTTCCTATATAAAAAAAATAAAATTCTATTGGTTCTTTTATTTGAAAAAACACCAATAACTTATTATTATTATGGGCAATAAGATCTTTTTTAACAAAAAAATTCGAATTATTTTATACATTCTTAATTACACTCCTAAGTATGAACTTATCAATGCATCCTTCAATCATTTACTAAAATAATAACTTTTTAAAATTTAAAACTTTTTTATCTGTATGGAATCTTCAACTCTCATTACAACTATAATTTTTAAGAAAATGTCGAGAAAAAAAATCATAGACACTCCACACAAGTGATGTGTGTTACAACTATAATTTTTAAGAAAATGTCAAGAGAAAAATAACAGACACTCCACACAAGTGATGTGTGTTGCTTCAGTCAGTTTACAAAATCCACTTCCATATGTGTTGAGGTCGTCATCCTCACATTTTCATACTCAGATAAACGGGTGCTTTTAACTTCGATTTTTCTGTGATGGTCCACATGATATAAGGGGATAATATGCATGTATAATAATCAAAGCTCTTATTATACTTGGAGAAAAAAAAAGACAGTTAAAATGCTTTGCAAACAACGTCTGTTGCCACTTTCAAGCATCAACTATGAAGCACAAAAAAGAAAAAGAAGAATGTTATTGCTTGTTAATTAGATCATCAATAACCGCATATACAACGTACCAAGGCTACAGCCTACAAGTATAAAGATAGACAATAAAGAAACAAAGAAACTTGCAATTTAGCATATGTAAAATTACTAGAAAAATAATCAAAGGAAAAAACATGGCACATTATTGATGCCTAAAGTACTTGAAAATTCTAAGCTATGATTGTGGACTAGTGATGGATAAATTGACAAATCCTTATACTTGAGAGTACTCTGAAATTACAAACATAAATATTTCAGAAAAATGCAGTCATTTGTCATCCAAAACTATGACAAAACTTATTGGTATTCTTCCTTTCGCTTTTGCTCATCAACTATTGTTCCATAAGATGGATAGATGATCGTGCAAAATATCAAAAAGGGCAGGAGACGAACACAAATTCAATACATTGTTGCCTATTGCCTAACGCATTAAGATCTTCACTGATATAAGGAAAAGGGCAGGAGACGAACACAAATTCAATACATTGTTGCCTATTGCCTAACGCATTAAGATCTTCACTGATATAAGGAAAAGGGCAGGAGACGAACACAAATTCAATACATTGTTGCCTATTGCCTAACGCATTAAGATCTTCACTGATATAAGGAAAAGGGCAGGAGAGGAACACAATTTTGATGAATTGTTGATGCATGAATGCAATAGCATTTTAGAGTTATCGGGGGTCACAGACCTACATATTTCGATATCCTATGGTACCGAATACATGTATGTAGCCACTATTCAGAGCCCAAAAGTGACTTTCTTCTCCTCTTTAGTTGGCACAAAGTGATAAGAAAAGCACACTAACTATTAGAGGAGGATACCTGGGAAAACCATGCGGGTTCATGATCAAATCAGGGCAAATACCACGTTCAGAAAATGGGAAATCTTCTTGTTGAATGATTGTTCCACAAACACCTTTTTGCCCATGTCTGCTACTAAATTTGTCACCAACCTGGATGGATAAGTAAAAACAAAATGACACTGCATCAATTCACCATAAGCCCAAGTTAAAGAAACATATTTCCCACATTTAGGCAGAAAAAGTTCTGTACCTCTGGTCTTCGAGTATGGCGGATTTTATATTTGATACATAGATTGTTGTTTTTATCAGAGCAAAGAGCAACTCTATCAACTACACATGACTCCCCTTCAGTACCTTTGAATATTTGAGCACAAGGACGATATTTTCTGGAAATTAAAATGCAGGTGAGGAATTATGATGCCAAAAAAGAAAAAAACTAATAAATTAAAATTGAGGGAGCAAATTACTGACACGTCTGCTAAAGCTGCTGCAGACTTTAAAGGCCCCCTTGTTTCAATAGGGGACTCCTTATTTATATAGATATCACCATGCCTAATAATTTCCCCAGGAGCAGCAAGTCCATCATCATCCAACACCTACACAAGTAACACCATGAGGGACAGCATAAAACACAAGACAAATTATCTCACTGTTATAGGGTTCATTGTGATTTATATTAGAAAAAATAATTAAAAATGATTTCCTGCATCTCACCAGTTTTATAATGCTTAAGATCCCTAATTAAAACACAATGCTTTCATTAATCTTCTCCCTAGTAGTAAGTCACTGGTATATTATGGATTGACAAACAAATGAAAGTCTTAACTTAATAACCCTAAAGTGTCTTGGTGTTCCAAATGTGACTAGACCAAGGAAAACAAGGTTTAGGAGAACTAACAAAAAGTGCCAAAGAAAGACTTGCAAGTGTTGGGTCCCTCTAGAGTCCATAAATGCTTTCATCAACACTTGGAGAGATAGATAATTGAGAATACGAACTCTAGTTTTTTTTCTCCTGCAATCTAATTAAATTCTAAAGACAACAAAAGGGAAAAGGCTTCAAGCAATGGAATATCTCCTCCCCGGAAGTTCTATAAAATGAAATTGGAATCACTACCATCTTTCCTTTAACCAGATAAGAAAAATTAACAACAACAATATATGAAATGAACTTCTTAGGATTGCACAAATGATATTGCAACCTTAACATCCCAGCCATTTTTGTCAAAAATCATACTTGCTCCAAATCAGTTTATACCAAATAGAACAAGGCTCTAAAGGAAACTGCCATAACTCGGTTAATGCTTTCAAACAACATGTCAAAAATCCTCAGCCTTCCTCTAACTAGGCTTACAGGCCTCCTCATTAACTAAACAACCCAACCCCTGTTCCCCCAATATCTTTTATCACATTCAGCAGCACTAATAGAAAAACAAAATACATACAAAAAGCAATAAAGGGGAAAAAACACCTTTCACCCACCAAGCCTCTCTAAAAAATTCTAAGAAAAAAATAACTTCAAAAGGTATCTCTACATAATGCAAAGGTAAATGATGCAGGACAAATTCTAAGTAGTAGTTCATGTTAGTGGAGCGTGCACTTACATAAACAATTAGGGTTTTTTCCTTTACTTGTTTATTTATGCATTATTTATTAGGGACATTTGGACAATGAATATTTAGTTATTTTTAAGGGCTGGTGATGCAGAAGCTGAAACAATTAAAACATGTACCTTTATATGATTTTTGAAGATGGGGGAAATCATAATGCTAAGGCAAACATACCCATTTGACTTGACCTCCTTACTCTGTGTGCATGTTGTTTGTAAGCCCACATTGAGATGAATGAATGGATGAGAATTTCACTATATGGTTTGAGATTGTAAGATCCAGTCTATCATAGGATCCATTGCGAAGAACCATGTGCATGGAGCTTAGGTTTCTAGTTTGTAGGTGTGATACATAGAAACATTACTAGTGTGACTAGTATTTTTTTTTATTCAGTTTAATTCAAAGTATAACATTTATATCCTTCATCCTTTAATCTAGTTTGATCACCTTACCCTTAAAGGTATCCCAACCCTCACCTATAACCTATTCCCCAATTCCCTAACCCACCAAATCTACAATGACCTAAAAACTATAGTATTTAGGTATCATAATTCAAAGATCCTGCATCAGCTATTTCTTTTAATTTAGGGTTTTGTTTAGTATTTAAGGGCTGCTACTGCTGTAAAAAGAAATGGAAAATTTGATATTTCATGAGTTGTAAAAAGAACCTCGTTTTCTTTTCTGGCAGTACAGTCCAGATAACCAGACTTGGTGAGTTTGCTAATTTTTCTTTTTCTTCCTACATCAGTAAACCCTAAGGACACACAGGAACCATCTACCTCTAAAACTATCAACACTGACAGAGCCTGATTCTAGACACAATTATCTTAATATTTCTTGTTCATCCAAGAGAAGGAAAATGAAATTCAGAAACCAACAAATGTTCAGCAAACTAAACTAGAAGAATAATAGAGATGGAAACACTAAACTGAAAAGGGAACAGGTTGGGGGGGTAGTTTCATACCCTCTCTCTTTCTTCATTTTTTCGTGGCCTTAAGATTCTGTCTGATGCACCATTCTCATACTTTTGATTAGTGCAAGTGTATCTGTCATAGAGCAATGACCAAAATAAGCAACCACTAACACTCTATCAAGGCAAGCAAAATCACATAGGGAATTACATTGAGAAAAGATGCAATTATAATAAAGTACGGAAAAATTAAGGATGTCAAAATTATGTACTTCTTCAAAACAATACATCGACCAAAACCACGATCTAGAGAGGCCTTGTTCATGACTATTGCATCCTCTATGTCATAGCCACTATAACTCATAACTGCAACTGTTGCATTCTGACCAGCCCCAAGCTTATCATATCCAACCTGGAAGCAAACTGATTAGTTCACAGCCAATGATCCTTGCCGCAGCATTTATAATAGGAGGACAATTACCAGTTCAATTGTTCTTGTTGTCAATAAAGGCCGTTGAGGATACACCAATAGGTAAAGTAACGAGTCCATACGGCCTAACTGCTATGACAGGAAGATCACTAGTCAAGAACAGAACATTTCTTATTATAGAAACCTACATAAATATCACCACAGCCATTCATCAAAAGTGAAAGTAACTAAACAGATGCAAGGAACCAACAAGCATTCTTAGACATTTGCTCATTGTTTAAACTTGGATGAAACAAATCAATAACAATACTCAATGGATATAGAAGTCACATAAACAACAGAACAAGAACAGAAGCACCAACTTCTGGAGATTTATTAAGAAAAAAGCTCGTGGAAAACACTTTGGCATTTTTTGAGAATGGAAAAGGGTAACTCAGCCCATCATTTTGGAAAAGAGATATCACTAGCCTATTGAGCTGGTTAAACAATAATTCAGCCACATTATGCGAACAACTTAAAAAGTATACCCATATTTTTCTTTCTTTTTTATTTTTTTGGGGGTTGAAATTTATTCATGTAAACTGCATGAAGCAATTTCTCTGGGACTAATTTATGGAAACAGAAACACCAAATTTGCATGCTTCAAAGTTGAAAATGTAGTTAGGCAGTTCAACAGTGACAACAATGATACTAATTAGCACATTTTCATAAAAAAATGCCTTCATCTGTGCAATGAAACATCTAGTATTTGATAATTCATTCATCTATGGATCCATAATGAAATTCTGTAAATTTTTCAATCAGTTGTGGTACTCATGGGAACATCACTCTAATGTGTTCCAACACAAATGGATTTTTATCCATATAGTGCTCAAAGGTAGATAAAGTTGGAAAAATTAAAAGGATCTTGTCCTTATTGACCATGTTGGTAGCAGTACCACACCACCAGCAACATGCTAAGGCACATGCAAGAACAGTTGCAGCCTGCATAAAATGTCATAATTCGACCAAATCGATGACATAAAAGAACTTGCCTGATTGTATGCAATGTTTCCCATAGCTTGCTTCCCCATAGCACACTGCCACATGATACAAGTAAGATGAACGGAGTGATTTTTAGAAATTGAAATGCACATGTATCACCTTTAATATTGAGAAAATGACAACAAACCTGATATGTATTTCTTGGTGACTGATTATGATGAGGATAAGGAATTAACCCAGCAACAACACCTAATATCGTGAAAGGCTCTATCTCAATATGGGTTGTCTCAGGAGTGGCCTCCCATTCATACAAAGCAATCTGTAAAAAAGATAATAATATTGGAAAGGTCCTTGTAAATAAAAAAAGAGAAAGATAATGAAAATATAGTAAAGTTTCTCAATAGTGATTTCTAGACCAACCAAAGCATTGTTCTCTTCATTGACATCAAGATACTCAATCAATCCCTCATGTAAGAAGTCATCAAAAGTGCGGGCTCCATCCTTGAAGAAAATGGAAATTAAATCAGGTTTAGAGTGCCATCCTTTCATTTGGTCCTAATAGAATAAATGAACTCACCATTAACTCTCTCATATGATGTTCTTTAATCCTTGATACACCTTTGTCTGCAATAACCAGCGGACGACAAACTCGACCTCCATCAGAAGCAATGTACACAGCACGCTAGCAGACATTTTTTGCTAAATATCAGTTATTTGCAGTCCACAATAAGATAGTCTATTCAATTGTACAACGCAGAATAGCAAAATGAATAGCTAAATAAATAAAAAGGATAGTCAAGTCAGTCATTTTTAGGATTACAAATGAATTTCCTACTTTCACAGCAAAACCTGAAGCTTTATTATGTGTCTTTCATATACGTGGACAAGATTACCTTAGAGGACCACAGATAACAAGATATTATACCATCCTAAAGAATCAGCAGAAAGCACTTTATATGCCAACCATTCTTACCAGTATTACAAGCTTTGTACTTTCATGCATTATGACATTTACACAAGTATTACAAACTGTGTACTCTCATCCATGTGGGTGACTAAAATGTGTATATTTTCAAAGGTACAGACCAAGGGTCTTAGCCCATTGGTGAGCACATCCTCTTTGAGGGTTGATCATGTGTTTGAGCCTCAGTGTCTCCTTGTCAGTGAGGGTATCTTCCATGTATTACAAGCCCCCAACATCTCCTCAGGACCCAAAACACAGAAAGGAACTTCACATTCTCATCCATTTTTCTTTTTTCTTTTGGTGCTTCACTCTCATTCATTATAAATGCCAGAGTGTATGCAAGTAAATGGAGGTATATTTAAAGCGCCATGAACAAGGTAGTGTGTGCAACCTCAAATCCTACAAAACAAGCTCTATGCATGAAAAAAGAAAGCTGAATTCTAAAAAAGAATAAAAAACCGACATGAAAAGCTTAGACATATAGACTTAGAGAAGGAGTAAACAGATAAGCATACAAACCCATTCGCCATTTCTTCTGGAAATAGTTAAGTTCATTCAATCTCATTGAATATTAAGTAGGAAAATACCCGTAAAAGCTCCAGAAGCATGACACCACAAGGAGAGGAAAAATACCCCATTCCACAACAATTATCTCAAAGTTTGCTGGTTCATAAATACTCTAGCATTTCTCTCCAACTAAGTGCACATCACAGGACTTCACTGATGGCACACAACCATAGAGTTACCAATTCTATCCTCTCCCACAAACCCACAGAAGCAATCGAAAAGAAGTCTGCCACACTCTTTGCAGAATTACCAAGAGTCTGAAATTATCTGTTATTTTTGCTTATCATAATAGAAACATGATTGTTGATGCAATTTGTTAATACTGTTCTACCTTCTGATTCAGATATATGATTTGGCCTATTTTGTAGTTAGTTTAAACCTAATCCTGTTCCATTTTAGAATCACTATCCAACAAGCATGTTTGATCATAGTTGACATACAAGAACACTGTCAGAGATTTTTCCAATTGATGTCACAGAAGAAATTACCTGCTTCTCATTCACAAAGACACTTACAAACTCGCCAATTTTGCCAGCTCTTCGCAACTTTCTCATGGCATTTGCAAATTGCTAAACAAGTGTTTTGAGAAACAGGAAGATAAAGTCAATGAATTGAATGAGAAGGTTTTGACATCAACATCTGCTCAATGCAAGAGAAATCTTACATGTGGCCTTCTGTGCTTCCCAAGAATAAGCCCATTAAATATAACCAGAAAAGAGTTTGGCGTGTGAAGCTCTTCTCCAGAGAGAAGTTCCAAGTCTTCTACACCCAAACATTTGCACTGCAGCAAAATTACAAAAGTCATGGTAAAATGCTCACAGGACCAAAAAGCATATGCATAAATGCTAGAAAATCATACGTACATGTAAATAATAGTAACTGACACCATAAGCTATATGCAGAATGTATAAACTAACTGGACATAGCTAAATGAGGCAGTTTTAGTGTCAAATATTTTTACACGGCCTTGTCTAAATATTGGGGCAGCAAAGGTAGGCCTAATTTTCCTTGACAAGCAATTAAACATCAAAGTCTAAAGCTCCAGCCAAAGCATCTCTTTTGATTGAGAGAACTTCAGGTAGGATTTTCCCCATTGACAATCTCATGAGAGAGCGAGAGAGAGAGGAAAAGAAAAATTCACAGAAGATGCTGAATTTATCAACCATGAACCACCTGCTAGCTCATGCACAGTGCAATAGAGCTAACAGATACTTGTTTCATGACAGACTAATCGACATAGAGTTGGCTCTAAGAAACAGAAAGTGGTTTTTTTTTTAGAGAAATATGGGTGTTTGCTTTCCACTGGCTGTTATTTGGGTTTTATAGAGGGGGATTCAAAAATAGAGTTTCAGAGAAGAATCTTAGCATACATCATTTAGGGATAATTGAGTTGAAATTATATTATTCAAATACATGGCAATCCTTTATTGACAAGGTTTGTTTTCAAAATTTTCTGGCCACTGGGAGGCAAGTTATTCATTGAGAGCCATAAATGCTGGTACTTCACTACATATAAACTTCCTAAGTAAAATTCATGGTAAGACTTCATATGATTTTAAACATGTAAAACATTGCGTCTGTGTTGCTCATGAACAAAGGGAAATTTAACCAAGGACAAACCAGAGAGATTAATGGGCTCTCTTCTTCATCAGTTGTAACATGAGTCATTAAGGCCAAGTTCTTCACAAGTCCACAAGCTTCTCCTTCTGGAGTATCACAAGGGCAAAGCATACCCCACTAGGGAAAAAAACTTGGAATCAGTAAATGAAAAAGAAAAACCATCAGCAATCGACTGAATATTACCCAAAGAAACACATGACAATTTTGCAAGATTTCTTAGGGCAGTGTGGAGACATTAATATTACCTGACTAGGTTGCAATGCCCTGGGTCCACTTACTTTCCTGGACTTCTCAAATTGTGGTGAAATTCTGGTCATGTGGCCCAATGATGCCATATAGGATAACCTGACTAATACCTTTTAGCAGAGAAGGATTCTCTGTCAGCTTATTGTGATACCAATAAGAAACATAGAAATATGTGCAAAAGGAATGATAAAGCGGAATGTGGGGATGCTCAGTACAGAACCTGTGTCACGCCTTTCCTGTTCATCCTAAACCGTTTGACATCCCAGTTTCCAGTAGAGAGTGCTCTTTCAAGCCCGTTGGTAATACTATCTCTAACTATATACTATAACAGGAAATTAAAAAAAAAAAGGTGAAACTTACTCCAAAAACAACTTAACACAATCAGTGTTAAATGAAACAGCAGGCACCAGATTACAACCAGGAAAAAGAGGCTAAATTATTTCTTTGATTTGATTTTTATAATCAAGATATGAAAATCCATTATATCAAGTCACAAATAGAGTTGATTTTGCAGCTATACTTACTTGAGAAAAGTCAAACCGGCTAGATCGGTTTTGTTTTACTAGCAGAGCGTCTGCTATTTTCTGGACCTCAGTAATCATAGTCTTAAACAAATCCTACAAAGAAAATTAAGAGAGGAGGGGGCAACTTGAGAGCCAATTATAGTACCCATAGCAGTTCACCAAGTATGACCTGGATCCACATTACCTCAAAAAGCAGAGAGATCAATTGGCCTGATAACTCCAATCGCTTGTTACCCACATAATCCTACGCACAGAAAAAAAAAATTGTTAGTCATCTACCATCACCCATCCATCCATGGACTCGGAAAGATATGCTTTAACACACTCAATCTAGAACATTTACATCAATTACATGGCAGACCAATCAGCCTGTTTCAATAGACAAAGTCACACAACAGTTTGTAAAGCAAAGCATAGAGGAAAAGGGCAATCATGGCATCAAAAGTATCGAAGCAATTGATCTAAAGTAGTTGATTTTTAAAAGCAAACATCCTTATGCAAATTTCATGATGGGCAGGTCGTTAGTCCATGGGCAGGTGGCCTGTCCAATGCCTGAATTATTTTCTAAATAGATGTTTGGATATGGCTGGTTGATTAGCCAACAAAACCAATCTCTAAGACTTGTCATGGAATATTTTTGAACAAGATTGAAAGCTACATGTTCAAAGGTGTAAAATATTCACACCTCAAGATAAGCATGGTTTCTTATTGTTGTTTGAATGGCTTCCAAACAACCATCAGAATTCATCTCCAAAACTTGCATTTATATTGTTTATCTAAGTATAAGATATAAAACAAAGTGTTCATGGCTCACATCCAAAAATCCATTACCTTGTCATCCATTGCATCCTTGTTTAATAAAGCCTCCATCATCCTTCTCAACATTACCGCTACATATATACATTTTGGGCGGAAATTATTCTTGCGCACCTATAATGCACAAAAGAAGGTTAACAATCAAATAAAAAAATTCTGCAAATTTTAAAAATGAGACATCCTACCGGAACATTAGCAATAAATACATCTCGAAGAATGGCCAAAGCTCTATTTTCCTGCGGAAAACACCAAACCATTCCAAAATCAAATAGAAGTGCCAACAACAGAAAAATAACAATAGTTCATGTCTATAAATGTTTAGATAGACAAGGATGCAGCATATATATTATTACAGATGAAGAAGTAGCATTTATAATATTTAATCCACACACATGCATTACAAAGAGAGAAGGGGGACAGGCTACCTTTTCAGTTGATGAACTAGAGTATGTAGACCTCTTCACCTGCAAGAGCAAGCAACTGCTATGAAAAATAGGCCAAAAAGACAATCATGATGTTGACAATAACAATCACATGAAGTTAGCCTATATGGGTTTATGAAGTCAAGAAAGGTACACAAACCATCAAACAGAAACCTATAACATTAAAAGATAGCTTCCTTGTAAAGCAAAAAAGATTGTTGCAATGACTCGCAATAAAGAAGCAAGATGCAGCTTGGAAGAGGTTATGAGCACCTAAAGGAATTCAACCCAACCATGCCTGAACAGTTATTTATGCTTGGTAACACTAGATGGTTGTTTCACAGGTATGGACTCCATTGTCGATGTGGATCCATGATTTTCTATGTAGGATCTTAATTGTTAGCGACTTGTTTTCTTTATAAAATTTGTCATCTAAGCATACATCTTGGAAGAAGAGAAGGGGGTGAGTATGTTCTGCATTTTCAAGACATAAAAAACAGCTGAAAAAAATTGCAATTTAGAAAAGAAAAGGTATTGGGTAGGTACCGAATTTATAGGCAACCATATCTATTCAGGGCACCAATCATATGGTGGGGAATTTAACACCAGGAATCAAGATTATGTTCCATAGAAGAGCATTATGGGTCAGGTGCTACCATTAGTGTTCGAGAAAGAAGAGGCAAACCAAGTCAAGAAGTGCATAATGAGAGTAATTAACAATAACAGTACAAATATAGGAACAAGAACAGCCACTGATCAGTAAATTGTCAAAAGAAAGCTCAGAGATGGTAAAGAAGTGATGAGCACAATGTCTTCAAAAGGGAGATTGGAACCAAGTATGCAACATTTTTCTAATTCATGCCAATGGTTAAACAAAATATAAACAATGCAAATGCATGGATTGAAGTTCTAATCACTTTGAAAGTGAGGGAAAAAGGGAACAAGTTCAAGCTTCTTCAATATTAAGTGAGAAACAAAGATTGATTTTAGAGTTCATGCTACTTTGACATTCCAACCTTGGGATTAAGGGGTTTTTTTTTTTTTTTTTTTTGCTGAACCCACGACTTCTAGAATTATATTTTGATTATCCAGAGTTTTATTATTCCCTTGAAGCAGATGGAGTAGATGTATCAAGAATTTGTTAGCATCTTATTGAATTGGATTTTTATTTGGGGATGTCTATTTATATTTTGGTTGTTTTATGGTTTTTTTATGCCTAAACAACAGTACCTATTGAATGTTTTGATGGAGCCTATTTACATGATTGACACTTGATTATTGACAATTGAGTTTTATCCCTTTCTTGTTCTTCTCTTTCAAAAATTTGTAGGGATTTTAACATAATTTCAGCATATAAAACTTCAACCTGTGGATTTACCAATGACCAAAGCAAACAAATTGAAGTATTAGGACAGAGAAAGCATGGAGGGAGACCAATTGCAGGTTGATGCTCCAGGAGACAATAATCTTGTATGCTATAACTCAAAGTGATGTAGGCAGATCATTGTACTTATTCCAACCAATTTAGGCTTGAGGCTGAGTTGGTTATATGCTCACTTCAAGCATTACCATATTCAATTATGGAATTAAGTGGCAGCATCAATAGGTGTTCAACATACAAGTTAGAGACACCCAGATCACTTCAAGAATCAATAAATTTAATAAAGGAATAAATGATAGCGTTATGAATGTTCTTGCAACATGCAAGTAAGAGACATACCATTGCTTCAAGATATTCCAAGGCTTGTTCCCGTGTGTAAACACCATGACTTGCACATTCCTAGAAATAAAATGAACAATAGAAATGAGCATACAACCAAAAGGTATGAGGAAAAATGAAAAAAGAAAATAAAGAAAGATTAAAAGAAAAGGAAGGGAAGGGAAGGGAAAGGGAAGGTTTGGGAAAGGAAGAGCTGCAGCAGTCCAATTGTATACTTGAGACAAGAACAATAAAATTATGATAAAAATTTATCAACAATTTATGGGATATGTTAAAAATAAAACCTACCACTACTAAAAACATTAAAGCCATATGTTTGACATTCTTTCTCATCCAATACATTTGTATCATTACAAGGAAGAAAATATGCCACTATAATAATCATGCAGGACAAACTACATTCTCACTAGCTTAATCGAAACCCATTTGACTTTTTATCTGCAGTTGCCACATCAGTCTCCCCTCAGGCAGGTTTGTGGGATATGAAACACAAACTCTTGCCAATTTTCTCTTCCAGCAGCAAGTTTAATAAATGGGAAAATAGAATGAGAGAAGAGGGAAGTTTAGAATAAAAGAAATGCCACCAGAAGCAAAGTTGGTAAAGATAAGAACCAACAGGGAAAGTGTTTTCTACACCCTTCAAGCCATCCAGTTAACTTAGAGATCTAGAACAGGCAAGGATATAAAAATTTTACATTGACCTGACAAGAGGGAAACATCTATTTTTAAGAGAGCACTAAAAGTATGCCTGCATTTCAGATCATTAAGAAAAGTCAAACACAAATCAGATACCAAGCACCCACTTACAGAAGCAAACAACTGATGAAAGAGAGAGAACAGCAAAATAAGAGATGATCAATCCCTGGATATTGCAATTCATGTTAAATTCACCCATAATGTGTTTGCAAGGGCTCTGCATTTCCTTATCAAGGATAATCAAGTCAAACAGCAAGGACAACAAGAAAAATGAGGTTTTGATACATGTGGAAATGCTGATTTCCTAGGTGACATGAGAGTTTTTACATTATTGCAATTATAATGTGACATAGCATGGCTCAACAGCGGTATCCGGTGGTTGACACAATTTGGAAAACAAGAAAGCGCAAGCAATCTTATTGCAATTATAACTGAATCATATTTAACTTCAAGCTTTAAGTGTGAAAGCAGAAACTAAGTTAATGCCACAAAAATTATATAGCTTGAAAACCTGCTGCATACTAGTACAAAATCATAAAAATCTCTAACAAATCAGGGGAAAAATAAAAAATCCGATCCCATAAAACATCTATGAGAAACTAATTTAAAATCTTAAACCATCTTGAAAAAAACCAAAAATGTTGTGTCAATGTTAATCTCAATAAAATTTCCAATTGACACAAGGATAGAATTGCAAAACGCAATGCAGATTTTCCTATTCCTGTATTTTAAAGGCCATTATCAACTTAGCACAAACTTCAAATATATTCAATAGAAGTTCAAATTTAGATTATGAAAAAGCAATCCTAGATACCTGGGATATAATGAATGTTCAATGGCAAAAGGCCAATTCATTATGAACGAATCCAAAAGTAAAATTATCTTGAAAGTTAGTTGACATTTTCTACTAAGAATTACATGATGTAGATTACCTCAATAGAGGGCAAAAGCAACGCGCTATATCGAGGATCTCTTCCTACCATCTGTACCACCTCTTGGTCGCTCTCCATCCCCATAGCCTTCATTACCACCATTATAGGAATCTAAGAAACATTTTGAAAAACATTACGGCCCAATCATAAAACAACTTGAAAACAGAAAATGAAAGGCTGGATCCGAACAGAAATCATTCTGATAAAGACCTTTTTTGCAAACTGGTTGAGACATAAATACATCTTCTCTTTTTCCATCAGAATGACTGTTTTGCTTTTTGTCGCCTCAGTGCTACTTGTAACAGATGCATTTATGCTGAAAACAGGAGGGGGGGGGGGGGGGACAAGAAACTGTAAGCCAACACCAAGAAGTGAAAACATTAAAAGCAACAGATATCAACTAAACAAGGATTCATCATCAAAACAGTTGGCAATATCACCAAAGCTGCCCTCACAGGATAAGCTCATCCAGGTTACAAAAAAATAAAATGGGAATGCTTGAATGGCATAGAATTAGTAGAGCATTAGCAACAGCAATGGATTTGATTGGAAAGTCCCATGACAGAACATTAGCTCTATCCAGCATGAATTGTTGGCGAATTGTGGAATTCATGAAAATTATTGAATGCATGCTAGAAGGAATTCTAAGGTGTCATCGAAGACCAATCTCAACATTCTAAAAGAGTCCTACTCCAAAATCAAAATATTGTATCAAGATCATATTTTTCTTTCCTCGAAATATAACTATATTTTTAATGTGTTTATGAATAACTCCATAATTTATGATAGACCTTTTGAATGCTTTAGAATTTCTAATAGTCACCTGTAAATGTATTGTGAATAATGTTCACACCTTTATAGTGAGATATTATTTGACACAAAACCATCAAAGTGTGCCATATGAGAATTAGAATCCAATGCTAGTAATCAAGCTTCTTCTGATTTTAGAAACATTAGACCAAGATAGATAAACTATATGGGCTTTCCCAATTGTTTGGATTCTTTATTAGTTGCGGTTGGTGGATAGTTTGTAAATCAAAGATAACAAGATTGAAATGGCAATATATGCACTGGTGTTGACTAGTGTTGTCAAGAGACACTGAGGCACTTGCCTAGGCTCTCCAAGCGAGGTGAGGCCCCAACACCTTTATTAGCCTCAGACATTGGATTTCAATGAAGCACCTTGCAAGTGGGTGCAAGGGGTTAAGGCTAGCATTTGCTTGCAGTTCTTCATTTTATGCTGGATTTTTCTTTCTTTTTTCTAATCAATTTATGTTTTGACCTATTTGTCTTTTTTTAATTGGTATTTAATTTTTCTTTTTAATCTATTTGGCTACTTACTACTTTAAATTATCTTACTTTGTTTTAAGGATGAAAAATATAACTTTATATGACTATTTTATGGTATTTTATATTTTCTTTTGATTTTCTAATGATCTAATCTTAACTAGGAAGATGAATATTTTAGATTTATATAATATAATTTAATATTACTTTTTTGTAATACATAGCATATTGCCTTAGTTCATTCAGGCATGCGCCTTGGGCATTTTACAAGCTTGGAGCCTTTTAGCACCTCTCTCCTTTGACAACACTAATATGCATAAAGATTCTATAGTTACTTGTAAAAGAATTAGGGAGAGAGGATATTCTTCTATAGTGGTCTATGTTTGTGTACCATCTTTCTAGTCTTTATCACACTACAAGTTATCCAAAAAGGACTTCGTAGATTTTCTTATGATGACCTGGTCAAGGTAGTACGAGTTTCTATAGTTTAAAAGGGAATAACATTTCCTGAGTTCTTCATTTAGGAACTTAACATGAGAAACAAAATTTCTTTAGTTAAGATAAATCCTTACTCTTGTTTGTCCACTTCTGAGTCCTTCAAAAAAAAAAACATATAAAATGCAAATGATCTAAATGGCAGTAAACATTTTACCCAATACTTCGCAGCTACAAATAATTTTGCATATCTTTAAAAGCATTATTTTCTAATTTATCTAATTTTAGCACATTTGGAAGGAACGGTATCTATCAATCACCATCTAAACCAAAGATTTTTCATGGCCAATAACCCCAAGAAGATAAATACAAATGATATATCATATATGAGAAGATCAACAATGTCTCTTAATGTGTGCATGATGCGTCTAAAATTTGGGAGAGCCAAATACTTTTTCTTTTGGCTCCTTGCAACATTTTACTACTTGAAATGTAGAATGTCTTTTTGGCACTTTTGTGATCAATGTATAAGCCCACGGCATTTGTGAGGTCCATCCAACTCATTAAATGGATTTAAGAGGTAGATAGATAGCAAGATTGTTTACAGATTTCCTATGCTTGTGGTGATTTGGTGTGTTCTTATGGATTGGAATGCTATGACTTTTTTATCAGCCAAAATTCTTCTAAGAAATTTTCAGAAGGCAAACCAATCTTTTAGATTTCTCTAAAATGCTCTACCCACTATACTTTTAGGGGAGTTTCATCATCGGACAACTAAAGATTTTGGTGATTTTGGTAATTATAGGAATAAACCATCCCACAAATATCTTTAGTATCCAAGTTGTGTCTTTTTATTTTCTTGATTAAGTATTCTTAATTTAAAAAAAAAAAGGCATTTCACCAAATCTATGCTCAAAGATAGAAGGTTGAAGAGAAAAAGATTCATACAGTACACATAAAAGAATAAAAGCTTTACAAGTTGATTGTAACTATATAAGTTGAGGAATTTCACAACATTTAGGAATGTCCATTTCGTAATGTTTTTCATTAACAATAACATTCTACTGTTAAGATGATTATATTTTCATTGTTGGGACTTCTCTATCCTATTTTACCATGATATCAAGACTTCTTGGTGCCTTTACAGAGAATCTACATAAATGTGTTTGTGTCATATTAGATAAATGAGTATGATCCCATTCTACAACAAAGACTGTTGAATCTATAGAAATTGAAAATCATCCATTACATTTAGGCATCACTTAAAGTGATCTCCAGTTGCCTCTATCTAATTTAGAGAGAAACATGAAAGGGAGAAGAGAAAGAAAGGAAGTGTCAAAATAACCAGTCAAAAGGAAGAGGAAATGCCATCCCATTCTTCAACAAAGACATAGTTGAATCTAACAAATTGAAAATCATATACTGCAGTTCAGTATCACTTCTAATGTGATCTTTGGTTAGCTCCCTAAGTGTTAGAGAAGAAGAATGCAATACTTCTAATGTAATCTCTGGTTAGCTCCCTAAATGTTAGAGAAGAAGAATGCAAGGGGATGAGAGACAGAAAGAGAGGTAAAGATAAGAACAAAGATATAAGAACTCACTTCCCTTTCTTGTCATTATCAATAATGATTCTGTTCTTTGAAAGTTGCTCTTGTATTAAAATCACCTAAAAGAGATTAATTGCATCAAAGCTATCAAAAAAAAAAAAAAACAAAGGAAGGAAGTTCACATGAGCTCTTGAAAATAAATAGCATAAACAAGACGACCTCACACTAAATAAATTAAATTTGAGAATCTCAAACGTTGATATGAAATGAAAAGCTGAAGAAGAAGGAAATTTTGAACTCATTTGAACAGCTTATTTTGCAATTCATGAGTCATATAATTTCCTGACAATGATAAAATAGTATTTTGTTCATCACCAGACCTCCACAAAGATAAACTTTTTAGAATATTTGCACGGTACTTGATTCACCAAAAACCACTAATGCAATTGATTCAAGAGTTATTCGAATGATTACTATACTATGACTCAATTCAACTAAATCTCACTCCCAAACTATGGTGCTCCTCCATTCAATTTTACTATTAGACAAACTTTCTCAAATTGTATTTAAAAGCTAAATGTTCTCTGAGAGTTCAACCCACAACATTTTTGGTCAAATTGTCCACTTCTCTCCCCTAAACTTTTAGAACATCCAATAGCACTTCACTTGGGAGCAATAAATAGCTAAAAATACATAAACATGATTGTTTTCCTTTTATTCTTTGACAGAATATAATCATTATATAAAAGAAAACAACCAAGTTCATCTTTCTTTTCAAAAATACAGGATGTAAAGACTTATGAAGACCAAATCTCCTTTATTATTACTTATTTTTATTTGTAAGAACTTACAGGTTTGTATTGGCAATTATACTTCAAGAATAAAAATTAAGGACATGTTTGCTTGTAAATTTACAATTTTCAAAAACAAGAATCTAGGAGTGAAGAAAACATTTTTAATTAAAACAAAAATTGTTTTATGGGTGAATTATGATTTAGTCCCTCTAAATTTGCAATCTTCCAGTTCGAATTTTTTTTTTTTAGTTTTCCAACGTTAACCCTGTTGTTTTAAAAAATTCCAATCTAACCACTAGCTATCAAATACCGAGCAATGTCCACTTTCCCCACTTCTTTTTTTTCACTTTTTCATGTCTCTCTCATCATTTCCTACCAAATCCCTATATGTGTGATGATGTCTGCCAGTACTTAAAACTTGAAAAGATTCAAAAGGTTGGTCCAGAAATGGTTACATTATCTATTTAATAGGTAGGGTCCCCAATCAACTTTCTGAAACCTAAGAGTTTGACATTGGGAACTTTTAGGAACATTAATAAATCAAAAATAGTGAAAATATAATTTACCCTTTCTTTTCTAGAAACCAGACTTTCTATTTTCTTCTTTTAGCAGAAAGCTTATCCATCTAAAAAAAAACAAAAGCAACTTCACATATTTCTCACTTTGGAAAATGACGACCAAGTTTGCTTCACTTACTTTTTTTTTTCTATGTTCTTTTGCTAAAATATGATGAATGCGACCTTGTTTCCTATAGAAAAAAAAATGTATGATAGAAATGAAAAAAATAAAATCAAAGTAAATCCACCATCAATAATTTAGAAGTTATCCATAATTGATAATGATATAGAAATGCCAACTAAATAAATTTCCCTTTAGAAAAAACTACCTATAGATATAGCTACTTCAAGATCAGGCATCATAACATTTATAAAAATTCAGTCTTTATGACACTAAGGCTCATGTTAACCCCTAACTTTATGCAATATGTAAATATAAGACCTAGCATCATTAAGGCACATAGTTCAAATCAATGCAAAAAATGTCAAACAAGCATAAACTTTATTTTGACAAACTAAATATATTATTTCTTCCTGATGTCAAAAGGCATTAGTAAACAATGAGCAGAATATCACCTTCTCAGTTCCTTTGACAACAAAATATCCTCCAGGGTCAAGGGGGCACTCACCTAAATTCAAAGGAAAAATGAAAGAATATGAAAGGAAGAAGCGAGAGGAAATAAGTGGCAGCAAAAGCATTGTTTGAGTTTATGCATGCATACCAAGTCTTGCAAGTTCAGCTTCATTTTTTCCAGACAACACACAGCAACAACTTCGTAACATTATGGGCATTCTTCCAATGACAACATCATTCTGCAAGAACTACTTTGTTTAAAATCCAAATCACACGTCCTCAATCATTAGTTATCAAAGTACAATTTGACCACCTTTATCATCTTCTCCTTCCGACCATGGCTTCCTGAAATATACTCTATATTAACCCATATCGGTGCAGCATACCTGAAACTCACAAATTCAAAAACTCATACAACTTAGAAGAAAAATAATTCAAGTGCATAATGATTGCAAATTGCAAGTTTAGAGTTCCATCAGGGATGGCCAAACAGTTTAATGCGCTAATTATCAACAAATTTTAATCAAGGAAAACAGAAGAAACAAATTTGGGTTTTTTCCTTCTTGCAACACCAACATGCCGAAACCAGAGTTTCCTGCTTCTGACAACAAAATATATCCCCATTCATCACACCAGAGCTAGAAAATCATCATTGTACCACTCTATAATAATACAAAAGAGAAAACAGAAAATTGATGAATGTCTGATGTGGAGAGTGATGAAATCATATTCAAGTATTGCTAATATGGACTCAAATGGATTAATGAAAGTCTCTTCAGTTCCCGAATTGAGAAGGGCATCATCAAGTGCAGGTTAGGATCATGAGGGAGCAGAAGCGTAACAACTGGTAAGCATATTTAGTCAATAGAATTGGCAGATAGGGGCTTGGGCTAAAGCTAGAGAGAGTGAAGCTTTGGACAAGTAACCATTTGCACTCTCCTTGAAATAATGTCACTCCCCATTTTGATTTTGAATCAGAAAGGGAAGGATAAGTGCATAGTTTACACAGGTTCAGTATTACCAGGGGCAGGCCATGGCACCCTCAAAATTTGGCAAAGTTAATCCCATTGAATTTAATGCTTATTTCTAAAAAATATGCAATTTGGGAACCCTCCTCCTTCCAAAAAAAAGGGTACTATTCTATAACCATTATTTGTTTATTTTATTTGCAAATGTATCATAGTATATTAGTTTTTGGCACCCTGATACCTAAAACCCTAGTTCTACTCCTGCAGATGGCCATTGCAAGCTTTATTTATTTATTTTTAGCCATCTTTACTTTTAACACTTTGTGACATTTCTAGGATTTTCTAAATCAGTACACAAATGCAATGGAAGGCCTTCTGTTTTAATCTTCATACTTTAAGTTCTTTCATACAGCTTGTCTAGCTTTATTCACTTTTACAAAGTTTTTCTCTTACCTAAAAATGAGGAACATAAGAAAAAACCCAGGAGAAAAAAAATCAATTAAGAAAGTAAAAGAACATGAATGGCTACATACGTCGTGTCAGATAAGCGACACATATGAGGAGTAATTTGTTCACTAATAGCATCGACCACCATAGAAGGCTTTCCAATCTTAACATCTGTAAACCTACAAGATTTAAGACCAAAAAAAAATAAAAAAAGGTACCACAATTAATAGAATCCAATCTCACAAAATATTAAAAAAAAAGAAACCCAGATGAACTTTTTTTTCCCTATTTCTAAATGCTGCTTCATTTCTCAAAATGAACAGACTTTACCAGCTTGTGCACCCGTGCACCCAAAGAAAGCAACCAAAACATAAAATGGATAAATGAAAGATTACCTCAGATAAAGACTAGGATCAACTGTGGACACAATCCGATCATTGGCACGCACAATCTTCTTGATTCCAATATTTATAAAATAATTAAACGAATCTAAGTGCTGCTTCACTAACCCTCTCACCTATCAAAAACCATTAAAATTTTCTTTAAGAAAAAAACCCTCTAGCAGTAACACACTGTACATTCACATAAAAAATATATAAGAAAAAAAAAATTACGTTCATATTTAAATAACAGAAAGTTGGGTTACCTTTAAAAATTCAGGGAGAAGCTGGAATTTGTCGACGGCAGATTTTACTGGTGCAGCGGCATGCTTTTGCTTGTCAATTAAATGGTCAACAACGTTCTCCCTTTTAAACAGAAATAAAAAAAATTGCAAATTTTTTAAGAAAAAATCAGTAACCAAAATCAGTTTTTTTTAAGACAAAACAAAATAAAAGCGCCATTACGAAACAGAGAGAATGACTTACTCAGACAGAGAATCGGCTTGCACGACAACCATTAGTGGAGGTTTTTATGAGAGGTTTTGGTCTGAGTAGATCGGCTTGATGACGATGATGATGATCCCTGATAGACTCTCCCGGTGGTGAAGAAGGGTTTATGCTTTAATTCGTCTTAAACCCTGAATTTTGTACACCAGCGGATTGCGTCTGGGTTGGGAATTAGCTTGGGTTTACTTTCTTTCCAAGAGGGTTCGGGGTCGGGTCTAGTTAATCCCCATTGGGCCGCAAATCAGCCACCTGAAGATTTTAGCGTGAATTAGGCCCATGTGCTATTTCTGTGTTTTTCCTAAATCAAAAAATAAACTTGGGTAAACTATTATTAAGAAAACAAAATCATGAGAACATTTAAAATTTATTATGAATTCATATAATAAAATTATTATTTTTCTCTTCATAGGAAAATTCATGTAACTTGCTTCCCAAGGCAAAATTATTTTTTAACAAGGATTATTTGTTATTACTAAATTAAATTAAATTAAATGAAGGTAGAATAATTTTTTAATTTTTCTATCTAGCTAAGAGTTTTTCAATCCATTTGTTGTGGTTTTTTTTTTTAATATCATTTAGGGTTAGGAGCACCTAGGTATTTGTATAAATAAATAAAAATTTATCAATTAAATTTTACCATATGTCATTTTTATTTTATTTTTACATGAAAGGATAAAATTAAATTAAAATGAATGACATGAGAAATAAATAGACTTTCATATATTTCTTGGCCAATAAAAAGTTGACACATGAGATGAGATATTTAAGATATTTTATTATAAATATAAAGTTTTATAAATAAAAATCAACTAATAAAATAATATTATGTGACATTGAAAAATGATCCAAGAGCTCTTATAAATATTTATAAATAGAGGGTTTTATCCTAGACAATAAAGGAAGAAGAATTTTTGGAGATACAGAATTTTCTTCAAGACAAGTATTTTAAAAAAGAAACTCTCTTAAAAGCTCTCAAATCTTCTTCATCTATGCTTAAAGTCTATAAAGAATGAAACTACATTGGATCAAGCCTAAATATCTCATAAAAGTTCTTTAACAATACTTTGAAGACAAATCAAATATATTCTTCAAAGTATCAAATCTCACTTCATAACACACACCTGAATTCATGTTCTCATAAAACACAAATCTTGTCTTGATTTCATAAAAGTAAATTAAGTCACCATATATCAAATTCAAAAAAAAAATTAGGTGATTTTAGATAAAGATTGTACCCAGTCATATATTTAATGAAATCATATTTTTATACATATATGCTTGTTTAATTTTATATGCTCAAAATTGTGTCAATAGAGATTAAGCCTTGTCTTGTATTTGTATTTCCAAAAGTTTTCATCAAAACATTTATCCAAGAACAACATGTAATTATGTATTATGAGCTTTCCTGTTATTAGAGGGATTATATGTATTATGAGTTTTCCTGTTATTAGAGGGACCTCTAAGTGCTTGACGGGTAATTTTCCCATTTTAAACCTAGAATTATATGAAATTGTACCACTTCTTTTATTGTTAGAGCTTATTTGACATTATGCTAGTAGTTCCTTTTTAAAGTGTTTTTCAATTGAAAATATATTGAAATAATATTTGTATTTTTTAAATTTTATTTTTGACATCAATAGATCAAAATAATCTAAAAATATAAAAAAAATAATGAAAACAAAAAAATATATAATTTTTTACAAAAACGCTTTCCAACTATAAAAACAAAGTCTTATACAAAAAAAAATTCTCATCTTGAAGGATTAAATATAAGACCAGTTAATAAGTGACACTAATCAAATATTTAAACCATATAAGAAATAGCACTTGCACTACTAATAATAAAAATCATAAATTCATTAGCAAAGCAAAGGTGAGTTTTTTTTTTTTTAAGTAATCAAGACTTTATATAAAAGCTAGTATAAAAAAAACTTAGCTAACTAGAAAAAAAAAAAGAGTTATTTTGTATATATAGACTTAGAGAAGATGAAATGAAAGAAAGGAAAGCTTTATGCCAAACTAAAAAACTAAAATAATGACTTTTAAAAATCTGGATTGTCCATTATAAGATGCTTTCGAGGCCTTTGTATAGATCCAAACATGTATAAAGAAATTTTTTGTTTGCAAACCCTAACTAAAACACCAATATCTAAAGTATAAGATGAAAATGATCATTTCATTCTGTATCCTTGTCTTAAAAACCATGTTATTTATAGTCACCCAAATCACCTAATTAAAGAATTCCATAATGCAATGATAAAATTGCTCGTCATTGAAAACTTCCTATCTCTAAATGATCTTATTACAGCAAGACATGATGAATTGAATTTGGCATACACCATTGAATCCTAAGCCAATTTATAAATCTACTCCATGATTTTCATGGCTTTAAACGACGTATAAACAAATTATATTAAAATTTTGTTTTATAATTACAAAATGAACAAGTCGTTTATTAATGAGATATGATGCATATAGGCTAATAACTCCCTAGTAGATAAGATGTCAAATATCAATTGCCAAAGAAATACTTTAATTTTTTTAGATACTAGACCTTTCAACAATAATAAAATGGTCAAAGACACACCTGAAAATATTATCATGTCAATGGTTATATATCCAGATTTAATTGTGTAATTATCTATTATTTCAAGATTCCTACATCATTTATCCATCGAATTATATAATGAAACAACTCCTGCGTGTATAAATGAAAAAAAAGTGTATAAATTATAGTTTTGTATGTCTCGACTCTCTTTGCTATTGTAAGTTCAATTTTAGGGCCAACATATCATAAATTGTTGTTGTTGATTATTAAGTTATAACATAGAGGCTTAAAAATGTCCCTTTCATAAAATTCATTAAAGAACCAATTATTGATTTTGTTCATGAAAATATATTTAATAAAAAATTATTTATATTTAATAGTCATCAATTATTTTATTTATAAATATAATATTTGATTAATAAATCTAGAGTAAAGATAAAATTATTAGGATAAAAATTATTTGCAAAGAAAACTATAAAATCATTATAATTATGAGAATGTTATTGTTTCAGAGCATTATTCATAAATGTTCATGGTCAATGCTTTATGAAGATTGGACATTAATTAGAGTTGTTGAGATATGAAAGAAAGTAGTTATTTTTATAAGTTGGGATATGAGGAACAATTAAAACTAATATATAGGTGATTGTCAGATGAAATATATATTAAATTGACCCGCATGAGAATTTTATATGAAGATATCACTTGTGTGTATGAAAATGTTTATATAATAGTTGTGTAAATGATTCTTAAACTTAATATTACTAAGTTATCTTATACAAAGAATATTATATTATGATTATACTATATGTTGTCCTAATTACATGTAACAAACAAGTAGAGATTGAGCATAGTATGATTATTTGAAAGTATTTAAGTAGTAAGAAAATAATTCATCATACTAGATGAATTATAAGAAATGTTTCATTTGTTTTCAAATAGTATTGATTGTAAAATCTTACGCAAGGTGAAATGGGATTTGAAAAAAATTTAAATTTTATTCAAAGAATAAGTAACTATGGTGTTTAGAACAAATATGATTTGAAAGTGTAGGCAGACTCCATGTTATAATGTTTAAATTGAAATATTGTTAATACAGAAATAATAATTACACTAAAAAATTAGTCATTGAAAGATTAAGTCAAACCACGTATATCTTTCCTAATATTTGAGGATCATTATAAGTTGTTAAATATTATATTTGATTTTCAAATATAAATCAACTAATTGTGAAATTAACAATAAATTTATTTATTTATTTTATTTTATTTAGAATTATAATTTATATCTGAGCTATTTTATTAGAAAACCTATTGTGTCATATAAGAACTCTTAATTATAAATTAAAGTAAGATGATTAATGATTATAAATGAATGTTATTGGAGGGTCCAGCCAATTTAAATATAATGTATGGTTTAAATCCAGATATTTATGTGGCTGGCGTTCTAAAAACAACTTTCTACATGTGATTTTCTACTCAAACATCAGTTATTGCAAGTAAAACAGTCTAGATGTCCATTTTGTGCAGTAGAGCGGGAGACTTCGATTCATTTATTTTTCCATTGTTCTAGTGCTTGGCAATCATGGGAAAAATTCTTACAATGGTGGGGAGTATGCTGGTGTATCCCTCAAAACTTTGAGTTTTATTAATTTATCAGTGGCCTTCTTTAGTAAAAGGTAGATCTCGGACTCGGTTTTGGAATCTTCTTTCCTTCGGCATAGCATGGAGTGTTTGGCTCATGAGAAATCATATGGTTTTTAACATAATGCATCCAAATTGGAATTCCATGTTCTATTCTATCATATGCTATCGACTTGGCTAAAGCGTAATAAACCTAATTTTAGCTGCACTGATAACAACCTCATTTGCAGGGATCATCTTCTAAATGACTACCTTTTAATTAATACACTCAATTATTATTTAAAAAAAAAAAGAAATGGAGAGGCGCTGAACCGTTGTTAATTGTTTTTTTAAAAAAAGAACTGGAGAGGCGCTGAACCGTTGTTAATTGTTATCATTGTCAAAATGATTACAAATGAAAGCATCTTCTGATGTTCCATTGGATGTAAATGAAAGCAGCGTGTTTAATTTCCAGGTGATGACATGCGATGACCTTTGGGATGTAATGAGCAGTGCAGATGCCATAAGCATAATCATGGACATCGTCAAAGAACCTGGTATCTGCTACCAGATATCGGCGACAGAAGCTTCCGAACGAGGCAGCAGAGATAAAATTATTGCCAATGTAAGTGTTTACTCATTCTTCCAGGCTTCTGGTAGCTAATTCATTTGTTTGTATGATAATAAATTAGCCTATGATTTATTTTCGCGAAGGCTTGAATGTATAAAAGGGACTATAGATGCCCTGTAATAATAGAGAAAAATGAAAGAAAATATCAGTTACTGTTGCTCTCACCCCTCTGACATTCTGCAGAAAATTGATGACTTGTTAGCTGAGAAAAACGGCCACCCAACGCTTCCTCTTGTTGAAATCTTAAATTCTCCAATCAAGTTCAATCAATGATCTTATTGTTTGTTTATATATATATATATATATTGAGAGATGTGAAGCTGATAAATTCCATCTAAGTTTTCAAACAAAGTTTGAAAGA